GAAAAATTCATTTGTCCCATCCTTCTGAAATTTAAGACAATTGAAAGGATTCAAATAAAGGGTAGTAGAATGAAAACATGAAATAGTCCAACACTTTTGAGAACACATACATAATGGGTGGCTTAGGGGCGGAATTAGGGCCCATTTGTGCATACTGGGTTCGTAGGACTGTGTGCTGCACTAATATATTTAATTTATTTTATTACTTTGGGTTGCACAATGAAAAGTAACATTTTTTCATCCCTTAACCCACATCCCCCTACATGCCATGTGACTCAAACTCAGAATCTCTTACTTTCACTGAAACAGAATAGTTGCTTGGTTGGAACTTGGAAGGAAGTAAGGCACAGATAATCACACTATGAAATCTTCTCCAAGCTTCATTAATTCATCATTTGACAAACAAAACAACATTAAGAAAAAAAAATTCATGGCAAATATTTGAAATTAAATGTTCATTGCATTTATTTGTAATTGCTATTATTTCATGGATCATCGATCCATCTCTTGTTAGTTTTGATAGAAAGCGCATAAATTAAAGATCATCAATCATACCTTTGAACTTTCTCCATTTATTTTCCTGTAATCTTCACAAAAGGCTTTGAACTTGTCAACATTTTCGGGCTGTGCAGCAAAGGCCTTCAATATATCTCTTTCACTCTGCATTTACAATTAAAACAGAATAGATGAGGATTTTTTAGGAATATAATTCAAGTAAACATCAATCATTTAGAACAATGTAGATTGGATCTTTAATATGAAACTTTTTTTTTTTCTGCCACAAATAAACTATTATATTATAGAGAAATAAACTCATCCATTGTTACAACACAAATAAACAGATCCTAAACAGTAGAACCTACAGAAAATCCTCAAAATAACATACAAGAAAACTGCATAACAAAACATACAACAGTTTCTGGAGAAAAGGTTAGCTCAGCCCGAGGCCTGGAGAGTAAGAGGGAAGATTAAAACTTAACAATGAGCTCAAGGGCTCATCATCTAGTCATGGAGCTTCCTTTTCATTTTATTTACTTTTAATCAACTCATGGGAACTTCCTTTAAGCTTGTACGTTACTACCTTTCATCCTTCACTCAGCTTGTAATTTTAAAGCAGATGGGAAATATAAGAGATTTAATTATGGAGGAATTACTGCACTATAGTGCCAATCCACCTCCTTGAAATTAGATGGGCAAACAAAAATGACTCAGAAACCATATAAAGAAGTAACAGGGAGACAATTGAAACTCCAGGACGGTTTGAGTATGGAGATTCTACTCAAACCAGCACCCTAGCCAAACAGCAACCACATATTCTGTATACGCATACTCAGGTCATATGCTAACATGATAGAAAACCATACTACCATCCCTAAAGTAGCTCCCACATGGCCACACCACTTCTTTTATAGTCACCAGCCAAAGACTAACTTAAAAGAAATTGAATGCAAGCTGAATGACATGCATGTATATTTATGTGCTTCTAATAATGATTTAAGTTATAAACAGATTGTGTTGTGCACAATCTTGTATATATGTAGGTGAGTGTTATGCTTTGGTTTAACATGTTATGGATCTAATGAGAATAGTGGACCTCTACGCATGTAGTAGGGATGAACTGAGACTAGCTTGAATACAAGAGTGTGAATACACATACACTAGTGGACAGCAGAATCCATAGCCATTTAGTTTATACTTATTGATTGTTTTTGGTGTTTATGTTTGTCTCTTTGTTTAATTCTCATTTATATTAAGACTAATCCTGCATGCTATAACTAATTATGAAATGGAGTAAAACTTATTTTGTTGACGTACACAATGTCATGTTTAACTTCTGTTTATGCCTAAGTTTGTTATGGAATAATCAGGCTAACTGTCATGACTTGGTCTGTACATTGCTAATTATCTAAATTATGCCTAGGTGAAATTGAAATCTGTCACAAGCGTTTCTATTGCTCTTCTAAATTCAGTAGATTGTTTTTAGCATGTATTAAAATAGACTAATAATTATATATGGCTCAGTTATAACTTGAAGCCAAGCTCACGGTTGTGTTAAAGTACAAGCTAGCTTAACTAGACTGTGTTCTCTTTCAAGAAATTACATACATATATTTATAGCTATATGTGATTCCAAACTCAGGCTTTAGCTTATCTAATTACTGCTATTCTAGTGCTAAGCTTTTCCTGTGAACTACTCTCATTTTTAATGCTAAATACTACGTACCAAAGTTTGCTATAAGAGCTCTATGAATGCTAGCTACCCTGTTTTTACCAAATTACTAGTGTTAACTAAGCCTTTTGCAAGGTCAATTTAAAAATCTTCCTTACTTAAGTTACAAAACATTCTGATGAAATTTTAAATCCATTTGGATTGAATATATCCTAATGAGGTTTTATTAGTCACAACTTATACCATAAGGACTGCTAGAGGGTAAGAGCTTAAACTTCTATCACAAAATATGCCATTCTCCAATAGACCAAATTCTTCAAATTCTAAAGCACGTATTTATTAAGTATTAGTATTACCTTTATCAACATCCACAATCTTTTCATAGTTAAAATGCACTCCTATAGAGTTATTGAGATTGAGAGAGAAAAAAATCCAAAGTTGTCATAAGCAGAGTATCTTCATAATCATCTCCTGATAATTGAATCAATTTAAGCCCCATAAGTACTCTCTGTCCATTGAAGACTTATACACAGAATTGGACATGAATTCTCCCAATCAAAGCAACAAACGCAGTAAAGAGCATCTCCAAAAAATTAAAAAGAGAGGCTCAAGTCAAGATCACACCTTTAATTAGTACTATTCTCCACATAAATTCACCCTACAATTATAATACATGTGGAAACAACAAGACATCTCTTTACCTTCTCTTTTGCCTGATAATCTCTATCCTTTCTAATTTTCTTCATTTTCCTTATCTGCATCTCATATGATAGTGGCTCCGGCCAACAGCCTGGTTGTAGTTTGTTGCCTGCTTCATTGGCAGCCCACTCTTTTGACTCCATTATCCTTTTTATCACTTCAGCCAGCATTTTCAGTGACAATCTTTGAATTTCTGCAAAGAGAGAAAGAAAAAAAATGAACATTACACATCAACCCAGTGATCTGATCTGGTCATAGAAATAAAGATTCATTCAAACAAACAAAGACAGAGTTGAATTCACAACCCCAATGAAATTAAAAGCAAAAGAAATGACCCAGAAAATGATCAAAACAACCAAGCATGTATGACGTAATTTAAATTAAAATTAGAATGAAATAT